CCACTGCCATGGTGTTTCCACTTGAAAGAATAAAACTCAAACTACACCTTAAGAGATAGGGAAGATTTAGGAAAGTGAAACAAAGGAAGAGTTTTTCCCCATTGGGACAACGTAGTGAAGAAAGTTTCAGAATGTTTCAGGAGTAAGACGCAGCCGGTTCTAGAGGAGAGGGCGTGGGCTCGAAATGCTAGCTCTTTCGTTATGAGCAGGGTGGCACTGGGAAAGCTACATGATTCCACTGAATCTCAGTTTGTTCTCTTGTAAAAAGACAGAAGCGCTTCAGGGGGTTATTGGGAGGATAGGATGAGATCGCGTGCACAAAACACGGAGCACAGTTCCTGGTACATCTCAGCTGCTCTTAGCTCCCCTCCAGGCTGGCTAAAGCAGAGAGGCAACACTGGGCCACAACCTGGGGAGAGATCAGAAAGGGCAGTTTGGAGGCAAGTGGAATGTCTCGAATGCCATTCTAAGGAATTTGGAGTTGACCCTACAGACTTATGAACAGTGGGTGGGGTGGGGTGGGCAGAGGTGGCATGGCAGGACCCCAAAAGAGTTTAAAGGAAGATGGGGGTGGGGAAGGCCACTCAGTTAGAATCAAGCAAAGGTGGAATGGTTCAAGCAGAGGCAGGTGGTAGACCAGGTAAGATGCCAGAGGAGAAGGATGGAGACTGGGGGCAGGCTGGGACATGAGGAGACTCTGTTTCTGTTAATGGAGAAAAGGATTGGAGATCAAGGGAGAGGGGAAGGAGGGAAGGAACCTACGCCCCCACCCATGCCCTGTTTGTGAGCGTGCAGTGTATCGAAAACAAGCACAGTCCTCAATGAGCCACTTTTCCTTTTGGCACTCAGGGAAATTTATGAAGGTCATGTGTTTGCTTAACTCCACACTCTCCAACCAAAATACCCTGTCCTGGGCTCAGATCCATAAGAAAATGTATCCCCTGCTGCACGTATGAGATATTTGAAAAATAATGGGAATCATAATATTAGTCTGAAAGCAACATCTCCAACTGCACTCCAGGTCACCATGGGAAATTTTCAAGTAAACCAAACCAAGAAGGCTTTTGTGTTGTGCCAAAGCAAAAGCTTTCCTCCTCAAGTTGCAAGCTACTCTTTACACGTCCAGATCCAAAGGACAAATTCTTCAAGATGAAATTCTGGCCCAGCGTTCTTCAGATGTTTGCTCACGAAGAAGAAGCGAGATGAAAAGAGCCTTTACCTAAAAATGCCTCCAAAAACAGGATCAATCTGGTCATAGATGGGCTGAGTGATGGCTTCGTTCAGATCAATTCTTGCGAGAGTCCTGGAGGCGTAGACGCCATTTTTCAGGCAAACGGCTTTCAGTGTCTGGTGAAAACCCTGGTTTCCTCTACTTCTCTAGATAATGAAACAGTAAGTTAGTAGAGTTAGGAGGCATTAACTAGAATGTCACAGGATCAGAATTCCATTGCCTTTGGCCAAAGGTTACCACCAAGAGTCACATGGAAGAGTAGCGACAACATGATCTAGTCAACATACTATTAAGCTAGACAAAGAGGACAGCAGTCATGCCTCTAGTCCATGGGATGCCCCTAGCCTGGGCTTCCAAAGTGCCCTGTGCTCACTTGGCTTACAATTGCCCTCGTAGAGTTTTGTATTTGTCTCCTGAGGTTCCTCAACTAGACCATCATCTTGTTGAGATCAGGCACAGTGTCTTATCCATCTTGATGTGCTCGCCATCTGGCAAGGGCATAAGTCGTGCTTGAAAAATATTTGTTAAATGAGCAATTATTAAATGAAAATGTGCTCCGACCCTACTGGGAGTATCTGTTTCACATTTTTGCAAGCGTAGTCCAAAGTTTTTATGCTTTTTGTTAAATATTTAATGAAAGGCAATTCGATTTGTAGATCTTTGTAATATTTTCCCCAGATAAATAAATTCACAAATCAGAGGGAAAAAAAGATGAGGAAGCGAGAACTATAAGAGACATTGAGAAATTTTAGCCAGATGGTGATGCTCAGTAACTAGAATAAAAATACATTTGTACCGACTGAAATTTCAGTAAAGGGCTTTGGGATCATTATTTAATGATATGTGTTTTAAAGAAATATCTTTCAAGTGAATGGCTGGGTGGCACGATACAATACCACCTTAATATTCTTCCCTTTCATTCAATGTTATAACATGAGCATTTCCTTAATATGATGTAATTACTTTTAAAGTATTATTTTAATAACCAAGCAATATATCATATGAATGTGTAATAATTCATTTTACCATTCTGTTGTTACTAGACATTTAGGTTATTTTATTATGTTACATATGACGTTAGCATATAAATGTTTGCCCAAATTTCTGATTACAAAAGAAAGTTGCTATTCAAATTGGAATGCCTTGGGTATGTTTACAGTCACAGAGAAAGAAGCCATTAAAGGGATGATGAGAGAGAGGCCAATTCATGTGGTGAAGGACTGGTGAAGGACTGAAGATAGCTGATACTGCTCCTTTCTTTTAGAAGCGAATTGTCTCAATTCTCAGTACCCATTTGCTCATTCGCTTTCTGTGATCTGGGATCTTTTACCATCATATAGAAACAGTTCTTTCCAGGGTCACTTAGTTACCTATTGCCATGAAACAAATTACACCAAGCTTAGTGGCTTCAAATAACAATAAACGTTTCTTATCTCTCACCAATTCTGTGGGTCAGGAATTCAGATTGCTTTTGGCTTGGTTGGTGTTTCACAGCTCATTTGGTGGCCAGGCTGTGGGGCCAAGGTTAAAAGGCAGATAAATGCCACCCACGGAAGAGACCAGTGCTGCATGCTTCAAGGTCACTGAGAACAGATAACATGCACACCAGACTCAAGTGGTATGGCCTTTACTTACAGCAAGAGGAGAAAAAGAATGCATAAGATCCAGCCCCTTGCAGTGCCTGGGTGCCTCATGACCAGTGAATCCACCTCACAGCCGATGCAGTGACTTAGCTAACCCATCCCACTTTGTGCTGCAGTACAAGGACCCAACCCCACTCTCACATATCCGAAATACAGAAAACTAGGAGCTTGCCTGAGGGCCTTTGGTGCTAGCACTAAGCAGAACAAAGGCTACACCCTGAGCATGAAACTGGGGAAGGAATTCCCACTGGGGAAGGAAACTGGGGAAGGAAACTGGGGAAGGTAAGCCCAGCATAGGCTCTGAGGGCTCTTTATCTCTTGATAGGAAGTGTTCCAGGCTCAAGTTCCATTGTTTTTTGGCCAAAATCAGAGTCAAAATACTGCATGCACTTGATGGCCTTTCCCAACTGCTGGCCAGTTCTGGCTCAGGGCTTCTCCACAAGGTTCCGACAGGTGTCAGCTGGGGTTACAGTCACCTAAATGGGGCTAGAGGATCTGCTTCCAAGGAGGCTTACTACAAGGCTGGCAAGGTGATGCTGGCGATTGGTGGGGGACCTTGGCCCCTATCCACGTGGACCTCTCCACACAGGTGCTTGACTTTAGTACATGGAGGCTGGCTTCCCACTGAGCGAGTGATCCAAGGGACCCATATGGAAGCCTCAGTGGCCCTTGATGACCTAGCCTCAGAAGTCACACACTGTCCCTTCTGCAGTATTCTACTGCCCACAAAGGCCAGCCCTGATTCAGTGAGGGAGAAGATCCCACAAGGGTGCGAATACCAGGAGCTGAGGCTCACTGGGGCCATCTTGGAGGCTGCCTATTATAGTCACCAACAAATACTCTCAATGGCCAAATCCAGTTGCCTTTTTCTTACCCCACTTTTCTTTAACCCCTCAGGAGTATCTAAAAATCTCCTTAACAAACTCCTCTGCCTTGGTTTTCTTATTGGAAAATAAGAAATTAAGCATTACACTAAGAGTAAGTATAAAAAATAAGAAAAGAAGCTTTACACTATTTCCTTCTCCTACTGACTTTCAGACGAATATTTCTTTGCTCTCTCTCCTGGATCCTCTCTATTCTTCTCCCTAAATGTGGCCTTTGTTTGAGGTTATATCATATTATTGTCCTCTTTATTCCTTCTCAATTCCATTCACTCCTCTAGATCTATCAATTTCTCATAAGCAACTACCAAATTCTGACTTTGGGGATCAGGCAGAGCTCACTAAACATCACAGGTTTTCCCTGGAAAGGGCCACTCACCACCAGGCACGTCCCGAGGATCCGTCGGTAGGAAGTCCTGGCATTTCTGACCCCTTCTTGCAGGGGCTGCATTATGGGGGCAAAGCACTGGTCGATGGCCTTCTCCAGCAGCTGCATCTTCTCTTCCACAAATCCCCGCAGGCCACTCATGTGCAAGTATTCATTCTAGGGACAGGGCCATAGGGAGCATGAGATCACCCCCCCCCCAAAGGCACTTTCTCCTCAAACTTTGCTTCCTTTAAACTTGATTTGGTCTGAGCAAATCACCCACAGTTGACTTCTCCCTATATTCCAATACAGCATCCCTCAGTGCATGAACCACTTTAAACTTTGTGGGATTGAAGAGTAGAACAAATATATGCTTCCTGCAACTTACTTTAGGCGTACAATCCATCAGGCTATTTGGGGGAGTAACTATCCAAGTAAAAATCCAATTGTTACTGAAATGGATTTTTCCAATGATATCTGATTCGAAAAACATTTAACATACTTTGTGCATGAAACAGTTTTTGAGGCTAGTGTTCCTCAAACTTTAATGTGTATACAAATCACCAAGAGAATTTGTTCAAATCTGAGGGCCTAGGATTCTACATTTCTAGCAAGCCCCCAGGTGAGCCCTGGACCACACTTTGAATAAAAAAGCTACAGGACCACAAAAATAAAGACTTGGCCCCTTCTTCAAAGGAGAATACAGTCTAGTCAGGGAGGAAAATATCTAGTCAAATAATGCCAGGAAGGTACCATCAGGGACAGCCTTGACCTATAAGTTCCAAACTGGGAACCCTAGTATCTGTTCTCTGTGTGAGAACCTTGAGAGAACACATAGTGCCTTCCTGTAGCACATGGAAGCCACAATCCTCAGTTCATCACTTAAGGCCCTTCATAGCCAGGAGCCAACTAACTTCTTCAGCAGTACGGGCTCTCTGTTGGCCCCAAAAGTCCTCCCATGGAGCTGCCCACGAACTTGCTACCATTCCCCAAATGCGCCATTCCTTTTATGACCCCAGTGCCTTTGCACATGCTGTTCCCACTTTCTCATCCTTCCAGACAAAGCTCAAAAGTCACTTCCCATGTGATGCCCTCCCTGATTCCCCCAGTGGCAGAGTTGGGGCTCTCTTCCTAGCATTCCCATCGCATTTTGTACATCGTGTGTTACAGCAGCCCTCCTGCTGTGCTATGTCTCTCTCATTCTATGTCTCCTTCCCTGGACTAGGAACTTGCTGAAGGGACAGACTGTGTTATTCATGTGTGTTCATTCCAAGGCATGGCACAGAGAGTGTAGCCTATAAATACCTGTGGCATGGAAAAACTATGGATAATGTAGGCTTTTAAATTATATTCCAAATTTGATGACAGAAATAGCTCTTGAATTGGTGTGTGACCTTACACAGATGATCTAGCTTCTCTGGATCTTGACTGCACCATCTTTGAAGTAAGTGAAGGGGGCTGAAAGATCCTGAAAACAGCTTCAATCGAACTCCCACTCTCTGTCTTGGAGTTGATGAGTTTTTGAGTTTAAGGAAACTATTTAGTTTTAGGCGCGCGTTGGGGAGTTTCATAGTTTCACTGGTGAGAATTCTGTAAGCCACTTTTTTTTTTTCAGAGTGCCCTCTAGATTATTTTCAACTTGTGGCTGGTGATCAAAATGAAATAAGAAAGAAGTCACGAAAAGAAAAACTATGGGTAAGACTCTCACAGCGTCTCACTCTCAACAAATCCATGTTGAAAAAATAAAAATGATAAGAAAGGGGAGAGCTGGGAATAAAAGAACAGTAACAAAGGGAAGCACTGACACCTACTAGGAATATATAGGACTCATTTGACATCGAGATGTTATAATCAACTTCCTATTGAGCCTTAAAAACTATGACTAGTTAAAATCACTCACTACCCAAACTCTAGTTTTTTTTTGGTTTGAGGCACAATCTTAAAAAATGATCAATCATGCATATTTTTAGGTTAGATTTTTTCAGAATGCAAGGGAACTGTCAAAACTCTTGCCTTCCAACTTTCTATCAAAGAACAAAGACCGAGACCAATATCTGAGGCCAAAGAATTTTAAGAAACGTTGCTGGCAATTCTCTAAAAGCTTATCACGGAAGTGCCAAGCAGCCCCCTCCTCAGTGTTTTCTGTTGCCTGAAGTCTGGGTGCAGGGATGGGACTGCACCCCTACCAGGGCTGCACCTCTGGATCGGCAGAGAAGAGCATGTGGGGCAGGCACTCTGAGTTTAACTGCAAAATGCCTTGTCCTTCTGTTTGTAAAATAAACCAACCACACACAGCACCACATCTGATGGGTTTTCCATCAGCACTTCCAAAAGCAATCTTTTGCTGGGCAGAGAGGCAACTTGAACTTTTTCAGGAAGTTAGAAGGCTAAACCCTTCCCCAGTATTTCCGAGGACAAAAGTCAAATGAGAAAATCTCAAATTCCAGGATGTTTTTGTTTGTTTGTTTGTTTGTTTTTGTCACAGAACTACACAAAAATAAGGCCTAAGAAATATGATGAAAAAGACAGTTTTGCTCTATATGTCACTTTTATACAGAATTTTTAAAATGTGGACATTTGAACAAAACTGTGTAGCCCATTTATAATTGGTATTGCTTACTTTTCACATTGAAGTCAAGTCTCCATTATCTGCCTCTCCTTGCCACTCCTCAGGCTATCCCAGGTTCACCTTCCCACATTCCCAGGACCCTGAACTCTCATAGAGCCCTACTGGTGCACTTCCTCTGCCCCTTCCCTGTTCTGCGTAACAAGAAGTCAGACAACTTGGTTGTGCAAATCTGACAAGTAAAAGCAAGTGTGGAATTAAACACCCACCACATAAGAACACACCAAGCCTATTTATTCACACTTGCTATAGCAAGGGCATCAGTCACCATCACTACATTTGGCAGAGACTCAAAGGCAGGCAGAGGGGTGGGAAGGCTTCAGGTATGCCCTGATTGGAGGCTGCAGCATGAGGAAACTATAGAGGGCTAGCTGGAAGCAAGGATCTTACATGATCCAGGAAGGTACATATTTGGCTTTCTCTGGTTGGTCCTAAGATGGGTGCAAGGGATAAAGATTAGGGAAGCTGCCAGTTATTAACCAAGGTCTGGCCATTTGGGGCTATTTGTTACAGAAGTTATTGTTTAGCTTCTTGGATTGTTACTAGAGATAGCAGCCTGACTTCCTACAAATCTAACTTCTAGCAGGCTGGCTTCCTAAGCTGTTTATTGTCGAGAAAGATTAGTTTCCTAGGCAGATTGCTGCTGGCTGTGGGCCACAGTTTTGTCTTTATACAGTTGACCCTTGACCAATGCAGGAGTTAGGGGCACTGACCTCTGTAACAGTCGAAAATCCACAGGTAAACTTGAACTCCCCAGAAACTGATCTAAATGGCCTACTGTTGACTGGAAGCCTTACTAATAGCATAAAAAGACGATTAACACATATTTTGTATGTTAGATGTATTCTTACATATGTAAATACTGTATTCTTACAATAAAGCAAGAGAAAAGAAAATGTTATGAAGAAGATCATAAGAAAGAGAAAATACATTTACAGTACTGTATGTATTTATCTAAAAATATCTGCTTATAAGTAGACCCATGCAGTTCAAATCCATATTGTTCAAGGGTCAACTGTATGTGATTGTCCCTCTGTAATTCAGTCCCTCACAGGAAGCAAAGCAGTTGGTGATTGATTTCAGTAACAGATTTTTCTCCAAAACTCTCCCAAGACTCTAACCTAGTAGCTTATCCCTCTTATTTTAGGGTAAAAAAAAAATCACCCGTCCAAGAGATAAATTTGTCCATGACTATGAGAAATGTAACTTTTAACTGGGCAATTCAGAAAGCCTGCATTCTAGACCGTGGAGATAAATATCTAAACTCTGATGAAAGCCCCTCCTATTTTCCCTCTTCTCACATCATTTTAATATGCCGCTGTAAGTGTGGGGCTCTGACAGCACCAGGGCATGACGGGAGTCCACAGACAGAGGAAAACTCTTTGGACTGTGCATGCCTCTGGACGATAACCAAGAATTGTCTGTATTCCACGAGAAGTAAACATATCACTCCTGCCATCGCTTAAACACATTCCATCTAATTCAAGTCTCAGGAGAGGGGAAAGGAGCAACAGGCTATTTTTACATTTTCCTCTCAGTCCATTTGTCCCAGGTAAAATATTATTCCTTTCTTTTGTACTCAAAATGTTACAGTGTTAACCCTCTCATTATCTTTTTGTCTTCTTTAGATTCTCTGGGCGCAGCATCTTCCTTTGCTATGAAAAGAGAAAATACCATAGTTTCTTAACTTGGTAAAAGGGAATGTCCCACCCAGGATGGGAGGCAGACGATACACAGCCCAGGTAGCATCCATACCGGCAGATTGTCTGTGCAGCTGAAACTGTCTGTGAGAAGCAATAGGCCAAAGGCTTCCGTAACATACTTGGTCACCATCCTCCTCTTCTTGTCCAAGAGCCTTTTCCTGATATATTCTCTTAACTTGGGGATTTCTGGAATTCACAGGCACCACAAACAATGTTATAAGACCAGGGCTCATAGTAAATAGAATTCATAAAAATTCACAGATCCAGATGGCAACCTGAATTAACTACCATTGAGGTCCTATGTGGGCTGGGTGCCCACTAAGCCAACCTTTCTGAGAACCTTTCCCTCAGGTCTGGGATCAACAATAATGAATGGTAGATCAGCAATGATGAATATTAGTTTTATTTAGTGGTATGAAACGAACTATTGGGTTGTCGGAAAAGTCATGACGTACTTTGTCTATGTTTTTCAAAGGTCATTTATTTATATAAAGAACAAAGATCAATCAATGATATATTGCCCATTTTGTTCGATAACCTTTTTTGCCATCTTTCAGTGAGCTTCGTAATTCCTCGTTCATAGAAGGACCTGTCTTTACTTGCGAAAAACTGAACAAGGTGCTGATTTACAGCCTCATCTGAATTGAACGTTATACCACGTAAGGAGTTTTGAAGAGAGAGAAACAAGTGGAAGTCTGACGGCGCAAGGTCAGGCGAGTTTGGTGGGTGTGGCAACACATCCCATCCAAGCTCCAATAATTTTTGATGGGTGATCAAACTTGTGTGTGGTCTCACGTTGTCACAATAGAACACAACTCCTTTACAATTAACAAGCTCTGGAAGTTTTTGGATGATGGATTTTTTCAAACTGTCCAATTGCCAACAGTACCCATTCGAATTGATTGTTTGGTTCCTTGGTAGGAGCTCGAAAAACACAACACCTTTAAAATCCCACCACACTGAAAGCATAACCTTCCTCCAATGAATGTCCGCTTTCGATGTTGTTTAAGGCGAATCATCATGTCAGGACCAAGACTGCTTGTGCACCACATTGTTGTAAACAATCCACTTCTCATCACCAGTTATCAGTCGCTTCAAAAAAGGATCATTTTCTTAACGATTAATGAGCATATTGCAGATGTTTATATGCGCCGTCAAATGAACTTCTTTGAGTTCATGCAAAACCCAAATATTGAGCTTATTTATGTATCCCAGCTTCTTCAGGTGGTTGTGAAGGCTTGAATGATGGATGTTCAATGTTTCTGCAAACTCTCATGTTGTGTAACGTGGGTTTGACTTGATTATTGCCTTTATTTTGTCGTCATCAACCTCAGTGGGCCTCCCTGACCGAGGAGCGTCGTTGAGATCAAAATCACCAGCATGGAATTTTGTGAACCATTGTTGGCACTGACGTTCTTTTAGAGCATTGTCACCGTAAACTTTATGCAACTTTTCACAAGCTTAATGCGCATTCTTCTCTTTATGGAAGTAAAACAGTAAAATATGGCAAAAATGCAGAGTTTGGTCTTCCATCTTCAACTTGTAAAATCTCCAAAACTCAACCAAATCGCTCAATTTTTTTTAGAATGAAGCTAGAACTGTCAGCTGCCAAATGGCATAGCAATAACATAGATGCAAATGACTCTAGTACTTCCAAAAATGAACTAGTGCCATCTGTTGCAAAAATGTGTCATGACTTCTCCGACAACCCAATATGTAGAAAATGTAGGCTGGTTAAGAAAATTGGTACTTTCCTAGGGATCGGTACGTACCTGAATAAACCAAAGATGCTCACATGTCTGGTCTCAGCTCTTCAGGCCTCCTAGATTTTTCTATCTATTTCAAATAACCCTTAATATCAAAATAGCTTCTGCTTGCTGTAGAAAGGGATAAGAAGCTCTGACAGATGGGATTCTCAATTAGACACTTACCTTAGCCCTAGCCCTTTGTTAGTCAGATAACAGATGTCACACTACTATTTTTCCCATTATTTCTGTATGTCTAAGTTTTCCTATATTAATCTTTGTGTATGCCATGCTATTTCTTTTATGTCCATGTTCAAGGAGTTCCCTTACTTCTTGGGACATTTCACACCTTCTGCTCTTTAACCTCCTTTCACACTCATCCATGTCTCGTGAGATGCATGCACATTTTAAGTAAGCCATTTTCAGCTCAGATCAAAGTCAAGCTCAGATCCTGCCCACTCACCCAGTTTTCACTAAGTGCTCTAGCAACCCCAATTTCCAGATTCTCTGAACTTCTACTGTACTCATAGCTCTGTTTAACGAAGCCTTATTTTTGCATTGTTTTTTGCACATGGCTTACTATTAGCTCCTCATCTAGATTTTAAGTTATATCAAGAAAGGTGCCAGGTCTTCTACTTTTTCCCCCCTCACAGACCAAGCCATGCAATAGATACTCAGTAAATTCTTCTAATACCCGTACCTGGGTATGTGATGCATCTCAAGCCAAATACTAAGGAAATGACAACCTCATCGCTGACCTTTACCAATTCATGGTAGGATTTGGAGGTGAGAGGAATTGTGGTCTCTGGCACCACAATAATGCAGACAGGAAAACAAATATATTTGCAAATCGGTATAGCAACTGTGGCAAGCTGGAATTGTAGAATAAAAAGTTCTAGAGTGGGAAATTCAGAATGCCAAGCTTAGTCTTGAAAAATTTTAGTGATTGAGATAACAAAGAAATTACCAGTTTCCTCCTCAGTGAGGACTGCCTGCTGCCAGTACTCCTGAGCACTGACTGTGTACACCAGATCTGAAGCTTCCAGAACCTTGGAGTCAGCTGGCAGCTTTCTCTAAAATGAGAGAGGCACGCAGGGGTCAGAATAACTCAATCATCACAAAGGAAACAAGCGCAGGCCTCCCAAGAGCCTTCAGCAAATTTCAGCTCATTCACTCTCTGTTCTATGAGGACCCGAAAAGGAACAGACACTGTCCCGTATGTCAAGCGTTGCCAACTGTCCACACCTCACAAGGTTTCTGCTGCATTGAAACTATTTTCTTGGGAGTTAAAAAGATCAGTTCTAGAAAGAAATGTATAGAGAAAATAATTCAAAGTGTACTTAAATGTGCAGAGGGGGTCAAGTACCAGGATCCTTTTTGTAATAAGAAGCACAGCTCCAGCAAAGGCAGTGATGAGCTGCAGCCAGCTTGTACCAGTTCTGAGAGCTGACTGTACACAGCTCTTCCCAACTCTGCATTCAGTGACGTCAGAAACTGGCAGTGGTGGTAGTATTTACACCGTGGGAATCAGAAAACACTACAAATCAGGGTGCTCTTTTTTTAAACAGAGCTGATTGCTAAACATTTATCAAGAGAACACAACACTGGGCCAAGGTTCTATGAAAGTGTAAGTTCCTTAAAGGGATGGTTTGTGAGTAATTATACACATTTATAAGCAGAGTAATGTTTAAGTAAATTATGATTTTAAATGTCAAGGAATTAAGAATCAGTTGAGAAAATCTTTTTCTATTAGAAAAACATCATCACAGAGAAGTCATACTAGAATTATGCATAAATATTGTTCCATAATCTTGTATTCATCTCATTTAAAAGAAAAGAGAAAAACCATAAAGGGTGTGCATGAGTATCTGGAGGTGGTAGGAAACAGTAGAGAATTGTCAATCTCTTTGATGCAAAGATATAAAAGTGAGTGAGCAGTCCACTGGAATTGGGAAGAAGTCACATCTCTGGCAAGTTATAAGCCCATGTAGTCAAAGTTGGGCTAGAGATGCTTGAGTAGATTTCCAGAAGCCCCACACACTAGAGTTAGGGCTAAAATTATGTAAAAGACCTGCCGAGATTAATTTTTTTCCTTCTTTTATTTATTTATTTTTTTTTAGCTGAGCTATCCTGCCACCTGTTCGCAGCTCAGCGACAGCCAGCTCGGGCCAGGACTCAAACCACTGTTGCTCAGAGCTCATACTCTTGAGCGAGCTCTTTTTTTCCTTCTTGTAGAGTTTTGACCCTAGGGGAAAAAGTTCAAGGAAAGTTGAAACTATTTTCTCCTGGGAGGTAAAACTAATGTGGAATTAAATTTAAGCAGAGTTTTAAAACCATTAAAAGAAATGGTATGCCTAGCTACGTATAGGTATTTTCATTATTTAAAATCTTGCTCTGAAATTTGTATATCTTTTCAAAAAATTATGGAAGGTTAGTTAACATTTATGCTTGTTATTATAGTACAAAGAAATAGTTTTATAGTGTCAGTGAAGTAACTACAATATGCAGGCTCCATATTATTGTAAAAGAAAAGTAGAAACAGTTATAACTAGAAGGTAGGATCCAAGAGGTAAGTAGATTCTCATCAAATTATCCGATAGGAAGATTAGTCACTGTTATAATTTACACTCATGGTTTGTTATGATAATGTATAGCACAAACTTCTTACAGTTTGTAAGAAGATATTGTATATGAAAGAGGAGAAAACCTGGAAGCTCAAAATTGGAGGGATACCAGATGGAAGCAGACTCAAAAAAGATGTAAAGTTGGAGTTAGAAGAAACAGTAATATAAATCATGATCCCATTTTTTATAAATCTATCTTTTCTAGCTTTGTCATTCAAATAATTTTGCAGTGATGTCACCCTGCCCACTTCTGTTACTTGTATGAAATAATTTGATATGTACCCCTAGCACCTCAACTTTTATTTTTAATATTATTCTCTGCTGAAAGAAACCCAAGTTTCTTTGAAAGTAGTAGGTCCATGTCTTGAGGGAGGGGGGCGAATGGGCCTGAATATTTTGTTGCCAGAGAGCAAAAATGATTTTTTTTAAATGTCTGGGTACAGCATAAATTAGTAACTATGATATTGCCACAGGGATATGAAAGATAGTTCAGGGAATATAATTAATAATGTAAATATTTTGTAGGGTGTCAGATAGTCACATGTCTTGTTAGGGAGACCACTTCATAGACGGTGTAGTGGCTTGACCACTGCACTGTCCACCTGAAGTTGACATTGAATAATAGTGTATGTCAACTATAATTTAATATATATATATATATATATACATATATATATATATATACACACATATATACTCACGGGATGTGGAGTATAGTGTGGGGAGTGGAGTCAATGGAATTGTAATAAATATGTATGATATCGGGGGGGAGTGGGGCAGTGGATTAGGGGATGGGGGTTGTCAATTTGTGAGGGGTAAAAAAATGTAACTATTGCACTGTTTTGTACACCTGAAACTAATAAAAAAAGACAAAAAAAAACAAGTTTAATAGAATTTTTTTTTAAATGCCTGGGTAATGCTAAAAGGAACTAGCTTAAATGAAGGGCTCCTATTGGCCAAGATGTGAACTTAAAAATAAAAATTAAAAAAACCCCACAATCATTCTGTTGAGAGCCATGAGCTCATTTTGATCCTCAAACTGAGTAAAATCATATACGGTACTGTGAAATAATAAGATATATATAGCATTTAGTCTTTGAACCCAGTTCCCAGCACAAAGCTCCTGAAACCATTGCCATCTCCTAAGTGATAAGAGCACTAGGAACATCTTTTGTTCTAGTTGTTCTTTGACCCTGGTTCCTGACACAGAGCTCCTAAATCCCTTGGAATTTCCTTGGTGACAGGAGAGTCTTTTGTTCTAATGAGGCAACTCTGGGTAGGCTCCTGGGTGGGGGCTGGTCACCGGAAAGACCAAGCTCTTAGAACCTTGGAATTTTCAGAGGAGAGAGGGGCTGGAAATGGAGTTAATAATTGATCATGCCTACATGAGGAAGCCTCCATAGAAATCTCAACAGTATGGGGTTCTGAGAGCTCCCAGTATGTGCATCCACATCCTTGGAGGGTGACAAACCCCCACTCCATGGGGACAGAGCTCCTATGCTCAGGATCCCCCTAGACCATACCCTGTCCTGACTGTTGACCTGTATCCTTTATTATATAATAAACTGGTAAACATAAGTAATTGTTTCGCTGAGTTCTGTGAGCTGTTCTAGCAAATAATCAAATCCAAGAAACAGGAGGTCATGGGCACCTCTGATTTGTAGCCAAATTGGACAGAAGCTGTGGGTAACCTGGGGACCTACTACTTGTGATTGACATCTGAAGTGGGGCAGTCTTGTGAGATTGAGCCCTTAATCTGTGGATTCTGACACTATCTCCAGATAGATAGTGTCAAACTAAGTTAAATTGTGGGTATCACAGAGAATTGCTTGGTGTGGGAACCTCCCCACACACAGATATGGTGTCAGAGTGTAGTGGTAAAGAAGAGATACACAGGAGTGCAGGTTTTCTTGACAGGTGTGCTAAAGCAAAATGGTAAAATGCTGTACAATAACCAGTTCAAACTTGCCTGAGAATATCAAAACACAGCCCTCCTTTACCTGCCACATGCAATTAATCATCCAGACCTGTGGATCTGACCGCCCTAATATTCTGAATGCATCTCCTCTTCTCTATTTCCATAGTGATTGCCTAGTTCAGACTCTTAACTAACCCTCCCAAATGGTCTCTCTACATCCAGTCTTCACTCAACCATCCCTCCAACTTTCCATTCTCCATACTGGTGAGAAAACCATCTTTCTAAAACACATAGTACAGTTGACCCTTGAACAGCATGGGCTTGAACCACGTGGGTCCCCTTATATGAGGATTTGTTTTCAATTGACCTCAGTTCAAATCCATGTGTTTCAAGTGTCAGCTCTTTGCTCTGCACATGTGGAGGATCCACTGTAGTTATATGCAGATTTTCAACTGCGTGGGATGTTGGTGCCCCTAACCCCAGCATTGTTCAAGGGTCAACTGTATTTTCAAACTGAGATCTATACACGTAGTCTGGAGGGTCTGTAATTGTTCTTACAATATTTTTCTTAATTTTCATTTTTATAATTAGAAAAAAAAAGCATCGACAGCTATATGAATGACTGCCTGATAGTCAACTTCTGCCTCATATTTTCTGTGATTGAAATTAAATTTACAAGTGAAAGCAGGCAGTAAAGGTTTCACAATAATTCCAACAGAAATAAAGTGGTTGGAGAATTAAGGCATCACCTAGCCATCAGAGCTATAAGTGCCCTCAAGAGAACTCATACTATAACAATCAGAACCATAGTCACCCTACAGGCTGATGTATTGTTGCCCACACCCTATCTCACACATGCCAATGTGCCACATTTATTAGCAAGAAATAAGAGTTGTGAATTGTGTATTGAAGCATTTTATGTTTCTGCTTCCAGAAACAATACAATTAGGGACTCATAAGCTGTATATTTTTTAATGCCAACAAGAATGATTAAAGAGAATAAGAACAGCTTTACTGAGTTATTGTCTCATTAAAACTGGCATTTGAGAATTGCTTGGTAGAAGATTTTGGCTTAAGTATGAGGTCTGATGATTCTGAATTAGAACCAAAGCTTTGAAAATTTCAATTCCGCATTGCGCGTCAGACATTTTCTGCATCAATATAATTGAAGTCAAAATACAGAAAGCAATTACATATAGAAATGGACATAAGGCCATCTGTTTTTACTATTAAACCCAGCACTGAAGACTTAGTTTGAGCAAAACCATATCCTCTACCACATTATACTAATTTTGCTCTATCATTAATGTTGTTTTGTTTATATTTCATTTGAAAATTGGTTTTAGTGACAGAATAATAAAAATAATTTAAGAAAGTACCAAGATTCCCATAAAACAATTACTCATGCTTGAAAAATACAGTTCAGGCCTTATCTCCCAACAGTCCTTTGTACGCCCTTTGCTGAGCTATTCAAAACTACTTGTATCTAGCTTACCATACAGAGCAGGCTTTTTCAATCATGTCCTTCCCTCCATCTCAAATGCCCTTTCTCCTACTTCTCCACCTTACTAAAGATACTGGTTCTTTAAAATTCTGCTCAAGAGGCTGACCAGTTTTCCCTGAACCTCTCTACCCAACACAACCTCCCTGCCTGTCAGCATGATCTGAGCATTTACCTACAGTATTCCCACATCACCCTATGTCTTCCTTTCGCCAAGCACACTTCAAACTGTATGTCGATCCCTGATTTTACATGTTTCTCAGTAGACCATATGATCATTCAATCCTTCCAATAATCATAGGAGGAAGGAGGTAGGTATTAATTTCCCATTTTATAGATGAGAAAATGAAGGCTCAGGGAGGTATAATAATTTGCCTAAGGTCACAAAGTTGTTAATTGATAGGACTAAGTTAAGTTCGAATTGTCTACACCAAAGCTTTTGCCTTTGCTACTACCCAAGACCAAACAGACATTTGTTTCTCAAAATCTGAGTGGTTGAAAAGCAGAAAAATACACGGGTAAATCTGTTAACTTACCTTTAGTTTTTCCTTGAGAACTCTATTCCTTTGTACTTTTATCATTTTATTTCTTTCTAAAACAGCCTCTCGCTGACTTTGAATAGCTTGCTAGATTGGGAAAGGAAATAAAAGCATGCCAAAAAATATACAGTTATCAAGTGTGATGAAGTGATTAAGATGCACATTTTTTCAGCAGATCTTCACTTGGCCCAGACAAATGTATATGTATTCAAATGACATAATATTAATCATAAAAAGTATTATTTAAAAATAATTAGTCCATAGATATGTCCAAACTCATCAAGATGTTTACTTTAAATTTGTGCAATTTTTTCGTATATCAATTATCTCAATAGAGCTTTAAAAAATTAAATAAAAATAATTAGTCCATACTTACATTTCCTACTTTTCTTTCCCTGAAATGAAATTAGAAAAATGTAACAATTACTTAATTCATATGTGTCACGCAGTCTTCTGCTTTCCCTGAAAGCAGCATATACTGTCATGCCTTTATGCCTTTGCATAAACTCTTTCTTTGGTCTAAGTACTCTCTGTCTCTCTCTCTCTTCTTTTTTTTTTTTTTTTTCATACAGGAGTCAAACCGGCAACCTTGCTGTTAAGAGTGCATGTTCTATCCACTGATCCTTCCAGGCGGCAGCTCAGCTCAAAGTGCCGAATTCAGTCCTAGCCGTGGATGGGCGTAGCCCACCATCAAACAGGCGATCTTGTTGTTAGGAGCACGTCCTCTCACCAGCTAAGCCATCCTGCCACCTGTTGGCAGCTCAGCGGCAGCTCAGCTCGGGCACAGCTCGGGCGAAGCTCACTGGCCCATGTGGGAATCGAACCAGCAGCCCTGTTGCTCAGAGCTCGTGCTCTTAAGCAAACTCTTAACCAACTGAGCCACTTGGCCCGCCCCAAGTACTCTCTCTTTGGATCCACCTCCAGTGTCCTTTTGAAAAAAAAAAAGTGTCTTTATTTCTCAATGTTTTGTTGGTGAGATTTTCTGTGACCTCACCCTCTGGCCCAGTCAAAATGCAGTCCTCTCTCTCTCTCTCTCTCTCTCTCTCTCTCTCTCTCTCTGGGTCCCCAAAGCACTTTGCTTGTCCCTCTCATATAAACTTTAACCCTCTTTTTAAGACAGTGATCTTAGCGACAGGGCAATATGCCTCTTTGAATTGGCAGCCCTCACCACAGGGTTCAATAAACATTTAATAAATTAGATTGACTTATGTTTAGTTTTCGAGTTGGCATTGGAAAGGGAGAACTTGAGATATTATTCTGTGGTAGGGGTTGGGGGTGGATGGAATCTGCAAGGGGGAGGAAAATGAAGCTGAAATTCCAACCTAGAACATGAGAGCAAGAAACTGGGTGTGTGTGGGGGGGGGTTGGAGAGCCTTAACCTACTTCTTTACCGAGAAAGCTTTCTCTGCTTAGTGAATTACTGGAGACTGCAGACTTAAGTTGCAGGGGGTGTAGGAGAAATAATGGAGGTGACCGGTGACAAGTAAAGACGCTCTTGTCAGAGCAGAAAAGCATCAACAACACTACATCCCATGACCATAAGCCCTGTATACCCAGCACGGCCCAGTTTATACCTGCTAATCCTCTGTAAGGGTTAATAATACCCCCTTTCACTTTCAAATTGTCCCAATATGGGAGATAAGTCATAATCCTCCTAGTTATGGGGAGATGGCTCTGGGGGACAGAGAGCTACATGGAAATCAACATAAATTAACATCTAGTAAGATCCAAAATGCTTATCTTTCATTAATTTTTGTTAGAATATGACTCTGTAAGAATGTTTTCACTTTTGGCCGAAGTTCTAAAACTTTGAGAACTTTGTTCCACGTGGCTTTAAAATCTCCGAAGTAGACAAATCTGAAACGAGAATCTGACACTTCAAAGCTGTACTATGCCGGAGAGTATTCTAGAAAGTGCCTACTAGCTGTGGGAACCTCTATATTTTCCATTATCTGGCAGGACTGTCACACCGCACAACTCTAGGAGGTGCTGTTTGCATCTCATGCACATGAGTGGCACCCCTGGAGCTATATAGGGGACAGTCTGGGTGCTTAGCAGCTCCTCTGGAAAAGAGGCCACAATGGGTCAGATTCCTGAGACAATCCACTCAAGGGTCCTGATGTCCCAGGAAGTAACCTAGATTTCTCTTTCATCCCCAAAAGTCATTTCCCTGAGCCCGCCATGCCCACCATATACTGAATCAAAGCTGTAGTCAGGACGAATGGAGGAAAGCCCACATCCCTGCAAGCCCAGCACAATACCTTAGATATTCCGGCAAGTGGAGTTTGTCAGTCTTGGTGACCACTAGGGCAATGTCCCTGCAGAAACCTCGTTGGCAGGCTTTGATGCTCTCGTTCAGGAGGTCTTCGTGGGCTTTCCCTCCAGAAACTCTTTCAATGTCACTGATGACCCAGATCACTGAACATTTATCAATGGTCTATGAAACATGACCACAATATGTCTAAGAATATAAATGGTGTCTCATCTGTAGAGGGCATGATTCCTTAATGTATCACTTATGTCCTGCATCCTATGCCCCTTTCTCTCTCTCCAGTCCCGCCTCTCAGCACTCCCCATTGCACGCTGTGTGCACCAGCCATACTGAGCTTTTTGCAGCTTCTCAGATGTAACTTTCTCTTTCATCTCTCAGGACCTTTGCACTTGCCACAATCTCTGCTTGAGCTCCACTCACCCTTTGAGACTGCTAAGGGCCATCTGAGGATGGGTTGGCCAACCCTCTTCTGCATCCTACAGCACCTGGACTTCCCTGCCATAGCACCTCTCAGACAGAGTTATTGTACAGGGTTGGGTCTCTGCACCATCCCCAGCCAGTTTGTGAGGTACCTGATGGGAATGGGCTGTACATTTCAGCCTGGAATCCACATCACCTCAAGCACTGTGCCTTGGCTGTACTAGAGGCTTCCTACATGCTTCTGTCGTTAATGATTGATAAGATTAAAGAAATCAGACCCTCCACCCCAGATCCATCACTGGCTTGCTTTGTGTCAATTGTCCTCTAGGGGAAATTTTGTTTTTCCAGATCTAGCTCTGGTCATGCATCTACCCCAAAGCTGTCACCACGGGGCATCATTTTGATGTTTGACTGTCCCTGCATATTCAGCACACTGCCACCATGTGGCAGCAGGGAGCCAGAAACCATATGATTCAAGTTGCAAGGGTCAATGAACAGGAAATTACAACTTACGATTAATAGCATAAATATTGCTTTACCAAATATGCAACTTTCATGTGATGAGTAATCGTGTGTTGACTCGTGACATTTCTCTTATTGTATTGTTTCACTTGTCTTACCTCTCCACATAAATGAAAAGCTGGTCCAACTCGGGGATGGAGTTTATTTGTCATTCCTCAGAACACAGCTTTGCACGTAAAGGTGTGACAAGTTTATGACTTGCTAATTAAACCATTATTTTGCTTTATGCCGGTGGTTCTTAACTAGTGATGATTTTGTACCCCAGAGGACAGTTGGTAATGTCTGGAGGCATTTTCAATTGTTACAACTTGGGGGGCACTAGAGGGTAGAGGCCAGGGATGAAGCTAAACATCCTATAATGCCTAGGTCAGCCCCCCACAACAGAGAATTATCTGGCCTGAAATGTCAGTAGTGCCAAGGCTGAGAAAATTTGATGTAGAATAGTGGGTTTCAAACTTTTTTTATCAGTGGAGGCTTTTTCAAATGAAATTTCAGAATTCCAATTGTCAAATTTGATTTTTAAAAGTAGAAGAGTTCTAGTTGAATTGAGGAGTAGATTGTTTGAAGCCCCAACCTGCTCAGCACTCCCCACCCTCTGTCCACGAATCTCTTGGCTTCATAAATAATTACGTTAAAAGCACCCATCTCTGGAGTCACACTAACTTTACTCTTTTATAGAGAAAGTAATAGGCCCTGAGAGGCAAAGAACCAGCTTAAGGCCACACAAACAAGGGTCTGACTCCCCTCCCTAGACTCATAATTAGGCAGGAAAATAAAACAATTGTTCCCTCCTGCTTCCCAAATTATAACCAATTTAGGGTTGCTCCAGGCTATTTAATCAGGTTGTGGAAGATCAGAGGATGCCAGGCCCCAAGCTCCTAAAAGGCAGGTCCTCTTTTACCTTTGTATTGTGAAATCTAATAAACAAAAACCTCATTTAAAATGGAGTCGGGGGCCGGCCGAGTGGCGCGATGGTTAAGAGCTGGCTTGGGACGCCAGAGGGCCCCGGTTCGGATCCCACATATGAGGGCCAATGACACTGCCCTCCACAGCTAAGATGCTGAACAACAGCTCAACCTGGAGCTGAGCTGCCATGAGTCACCGGTGACAGCTAGGCTGTAGCCCCTGCTGCAGTGGGTTGCCATGGGCTACCGTGTGTAGCCAGCAGCCAGCGTGAGCGGCCAGCAGCCGCAGTGAGCGGCCGTCCAGAAGCCGGCGACTGATCTGCCTCATCCAGGAAGAGCGCAATGATGGTGCCAACTTGGGCCAGTGAAGCAACGTCCTCCACAACTAGACTGAAGAACAAAAGGACAGCAACTTGTCTGTTCCCCTTCCCCCAATTCCCCAATAAAAATCTTTAAAAAAATAATAATAAATAAAATGGAGTCGGGAGACTAGCAGAGAGAACTCTCACACGGGTCACTCAACACACACTCCTGGCCCCAGCAGGAAGAGTCGTACCTTGCATCTCTGACAGGAAGTGACACTACTACACTACCTCCAAATGAAGACAAAAAGAGTCCTCCTTGCCCAGTATCAGTCCAGCCAATAGGAGACTGACATAACTCAGCCAATGAAAAGTCACTATACTTTGAACTTCCTGTTTTTTCCACAGGACTCTTCCTGGACAGCAGCCCTTCCCAAGTCCATAAAGGAGCTTCCTCTCCTTTGTTTCTCTGGACTTCCTTCTCGCTCACCACTAAATCTCATCCCCCAACTTGCAATTCTTTATTGTGTCCAGATCAACCCATTTTGCTGAACAGATATCTGGTTGTCTATTTGTTAAAGGCCAACAGGATTCCCCATGATCCTGGTAAACTCCAGGTGCTTAATAAATATTTATTAACATGACAGGAGGACTGCATCATAAAGCTGGCAGTGATTACATTTCAGGCCCCACACAGAGCTCCTAACTACCAGGATTTGGTCAAGTTAAGTCTCAGAAGACTCCAAAAAGCTTGTTTATAAGACAAAAGCGACTGGACTTAGGAGTAGGTGGGATGGCACCCCCACTTCCCTCCCTCCCCATGATGAGAAAGGGCCTCAGGAATGTCAGGTGACATGCCTAAAGTCTCAGGACTCCAAAGTGTCAGGACAGGGAGGTCTGAATTCATGATAGTTCTCACTTAGGGAAGGCCAAGCTGGCAGCTGGAGAGATGGGGCAGGGGGTGTTGGCTCTGTTCTCCCTGGAAAGAGGGGAGTCTTTAGTAACTTCTTGTGAGAGGAGATCGCAAAACCACAAGAATGCAGGGAGCTGAGGCCAAGCAAAGCATGCTGGGAACTATCCCTTTGCTTCAGCCTGACCTCCTCAGAGTGGGTATTCTAAGCCAGCTCTGCTGGCTCCTCTGTTCTGAGTGGCCTTTGATAAGCTGCCCAGCATATCTGAACTGGCAGCAACTACAGCTTCATCCAGTGAGAGAGGCTGGCTGCCTCCCTAGGCTGTTTCTCTTTGGGTCTGGCCTGGAGCTAGCCGACGCTGGGGATACCACTTCAAGAGCTAAGACCCTGCAGAAACTAAGGCTCTCATGGCCAGGCCTGAGCAGCCTGATCAAAGGGAAGGACGCTGGGACTGCCTTCATCTTAAAGAACTGTTAGGAGACATCCGGCAGGAGGGGTAGTGATGATAAATAAAGCCTCAGCTAGGAAGGTAAGAATCTGCTCTCTGGTTCAAATTCTGCCACCCAGAATTAGCTGTGTGGTCTTGGGCAAATGACTTCCCCTCTCTGAGCTTTCATTTCCTCATCTGTAAAATCAGGACATAGGCTGATTACCTGTGAGCTGTCATCCTGATCCTACCATCCTGATGGTGATTAGAAACCAGTCACAAAGCTCCACAGTCCACAGTCCCACAGCTGCCGTGCTGATCATGACTCACCGGTACTGACCCTCCCCCCCAGTCCCCTTCCAGCTCCGGTCCTGTGTCCCCCATGTTCTCACCCGTCCTCCTGAGCTCCTTCTGCCTAAAGACACCCTTTCTTTCTCTATCACACACCCTAGCCCCTCTTGCCCTTTGAGCTTCCCTAGGAAGCGTGGTATTAAAGCCCACCCAAACTTTTCCAAGCTTGTCTTCTGCACCTCTCTCCTCTACACCCCGCACTCCCTTCCCTGCAGCCACCCAGGAAGGTTCATCCTTCTCCCGACACAGCTGCCTCGGCCCTCTGGGTCTTTGCTAATGCTGCTTTCTGTCTTGGAACAGTGCTCAGGGGTCCCGCTTCCAGCCGCCTTCTCTGGTGGAGGCTCAGCTCCAGTGTCCTCTCTGAATCCTCACCGCCTCCAAAAGGAACTCATCACTTTGTGCTCTCGTTTTTAAGTAATATGGTTTGCTAACTGGCATGGCTAATTGATTCCCTCCTGGACTATGAGACTCTCCAAGAGCAAGGACTTTGTCTCTGTCCACCCAGAACCTACTACAAAATTGAGCAGATGCTCAGTGGGTGCTTGTTGAAGAAATGAGAGCTCTTATTGGAGGTAATTTATACTTTTGAGTGTTCACAGCACCTTGTCCCTCTGGTACGTCACTTTCTGCCATGTATTTAGTCATCTGTGTGTTTTATCTCTCCTATTAGACTCTAAGCCCTTCGTAGGAAGGCTCTACTTCTCATTCAGCTTTGTTTTGCTTTCAGCTTTTTAGTTGTAAAGGTAATAGATGTTCATGCAAAATATACAAGCAATACAGAGGCGTATGTAGTAAAGAATGGTGGCAAACACAAAAACTGCTTATAACAGTTGGGTGTGTATCCTTCCAGAAGACAGGATCTTACTTTTGCTGTGCATTTATAAACATTGCGCGCGCGCACACACACACACACACACGTGTATGTGTGTGTGTATGTGTGTTTACACTTCTTAATATTAAAGGTCATGCCCTGCATCTTTTCATTTAGTTTTCATTTATTTTTGTTTTATCATGCAGGATACAGTAGGAGTTAAGAGCAGAGAGGGTCTCAAGTCATCTTACCTGGGTCAAAACCCCCAGTGTTATAATGGGCAATGTAGTTCACTGAGAATAGTACCTAGCACAAAGTAAATGCTCAGTAAATGTCTGCTATTATTATTATTTATAATTTTTGCATCCTCAGTGCATAGTAGATTGAGTCACATATTATATATGTTTGATGAATGAAAAGCAAATGAACAAAGAGATAAATTCTTAAAAAATACTTCAGCCTCTAATCACTAGGTGCAGATCAAACTACCCTCCTGCTTAACTCTGGCTGTAGGCACATCTGGGGAAGCCAGGTTAGCTCATACCCCATTTGTTGGGGATTAAACCCCTACCTAAGTTTTTGGCAGGAGAGTAGACTTTCATTTCAACCACCACCAATTCAGCCACAGCCGATTGCATTGGGGCTGGATACAGAGAGAGCTAACCCACTTGCTGGGCTGTAACCAATCACATTTTCCTTCTTAGGAATTTGAACTAAAACACATAGAGACTGGAGTAGAATACATGGACTACAAGGTCATTTAGAGACAAGGCTAGTAAGCGTGGTCATTTTCCACAACGTGGATCCTAATAGCTAAGTACAGAAGCTAAGAGAGAGGCAGGACTCTGCAGAGAGATGCACAAAGAGAAACAGTCACAAGAGTCCAAACAGAGGATGAGAGGAAAACATAGCTGCTTCCATCCTTAGAGGAAGCACTGAGGTCTGAATAGGTCTCCTGAGATCCTTTGATATTCTTTTGATTAACCCCTCTTCACTTGGGATTGCTTTCCTGAGTTTCTGTTCCTTACAACCAAACATGGTAGCAGCTTCCTGGTTCCTTGGTGCCTGGCTGTCAGCTTTCTCTACTTTGTCCCCAGCTCTTGGCCTTCCTCTCCCACTCTGCCCTTGTTTGCTCTGCTTACTCTTAGGCACCTCTCTTGCTGACCCTTCCCGTATACACATACTCTTGTCCCAGCCACCAGGCCTACCTCCTTATTCCTAACTCTCCAGTCTCTCTGGCCACCCATATCCTGCTGCTGCCCTGAGGCTTTGAACGTAGAAAGTGGAAGAATCTCACTCCAGTGAATTCATAAAATCCCTTAAGCTGAACGAGGAGAATTCTTCGTTGCTTTAGACAGGGTGGAGCAATTGAGGGAAGAGGGAATGAAGCCACATGAAAGAGAATCACCTTTTTCCACATCTCATCCCTCTTGCTGTTGAAGTCCCCTGTGCCTGGGATGTCCACCAGCACAACCCCTTCTGGAATCAGCTCTGACTTGGGGAGCGTCACTTCCACATGTTTGATCAGGGGCCAGATGTGTGTCGCAGCTGCTTCCCCATCCCAGTCTCTCCTCTTAGTCCGGATGTAGGGGTCCAGTTTGACAGACAGCTCTCCTGCCTGAGGAAGGAGGGGGAAAGTCACACACACCAGACAGTCTCCCAGCATTTCTACCCTGGACTGGCTGTGATTCAGGTTCATTGAAGGTGCACTGAGTAATAGTAAGAAGCGGCTGTGGGTAATGGGCACCAGGAGGCTGGTGATCCCGTCGGCAATGGCCTAGACTCACGGGACTTCGGCAAAGGTATAGCTTCTCTGGATAATGATTCATCCTCCAGATTTCACTTCAGTTCTAAAATTAATGTAACTCATATGCAACTTTCTAAATCTGGGAAAGCGAGGATTCTTCCCACATGGCTAATATGAACGTTTTAATTACCAGAAGGCCTCGACTCCAGAAAATTTATAGTGATGTAATGAACATATTTTCCAAATGGAAAATTGGTCTGCAATTGATCTTTAACAAGGTTTTAACAATTACCTTCCAAGTACAAAAAAATACCTTGACATACAGAAATTTCCAGGATTTTTTTTTTTTAAAGATTTATTGGGGACTTGGGGGAGGGGAACAGCACTGGGGAATCAGGGAAGGGGAACAGACAAGTTGCTGTCCTTTTTTGCTCTTCAATCTAGTTGTGGAGGATGTCGCTTCACTGGCCCATGTTGGTATTATCATTGCATCTTCCCGGGTGAGGCAGTCGCTTGCCAGCCATTGGACGACCGCTCACGGTGGCTCATGGCAACTCACAAAAGCTCGCACCCGCTGCCGTCAACTCACGGAAGCCCAGCTCCAGGTCGAGCTGTTGTTCACCATCTTAGCTTAGAGGGCGCAGCATCACTGGTCCTCATGTGGGATCCGAACCGGAGCTCTGCTGTTCAGAGCTGGCGTCCCATGCCAACTCCTAACCAATGCATCACTCGGCCAGCCCCCAGGATGTTTTAATGGTGGTGGGTGGGATGGGAAATTGTTCTCAGCCTATTGTTGCTACCTAAACATACCTTGGGATAATGGCAATTCATCCCAGCAACTATGTATGGCAGCAAATTTCTACTGGGCTACTTCAGGGTACAGCAGATTTAGGATGTGTGGTAGTCATTGTTAATAAATAGCTATAGAATGGTCCTGGAAGAAAGATAAGAAAGTAAATTCTTAGGATAGTTGAGATTAAATGAGAGGATGTGTTGCAATTGGGGTAGGACAGATGTCATCAATTCTAATCAAACAACAAGAAATTGTGAAAGAGGGGATGATAAAAGTTTTTTAAAGGTATTTTAATTATAAAATAAACCAGATACAATAAGGGCAACATAAAAAAGAAAAGGCATGGGCTTGAAAAGTCTCTTTCTGTAAGAAGAAGACTCAACCCAATAAGCTGGCTCAGGTCAAACCATTCTGAGGGGCAAACGCAGATTCCCTCATCCCAGTCTAGAGTCCCTAACTCAAACTCTGAATTTGTGCCCTTGTTCACTGAAATGGTAATTTTGTTCTCCTTGTTTCAACAGGTAAATTTATAACAACTGGGAAGGAATATTTCTAAATACAGAGTAGTGAAGCAATAAATATTATATTGTTACCTTGGTGTAAGTTGTCTATATTCAGGTAAAGTAACCAGTTTTGTAATCATTGTGTTTCTTTGGACATGCTCAGTCTATGTTTTAGATATTAGGAACAGAATTATTTTTTACAGTAATATCCATTTGAATATGAGAAAGGCCTACCACATTTGTTTGATTCCCTAGATATACAAGAGCTAAGTGCTTTAAAAGGTTTCATTCATTTGGTTTCTAAGTGTACCTGGTCAAATATTTAAAATTTTTTGAAAGAACTGAATACATTTACTTTGAATTATAATATAAAATGTCTAAGGGAGATCACTTTGTAACTTATATAAATGTCTAACTACTATGCTGTACACCTGAATCTAATACAATATGGAATGTCAACTATAATTGAAAAATAAAAAAATTTTTGAAGTCTAAGGAAATTTGATTAATTATAGATGTAGCATTAACTAAGGAGGATTTGCTATGTCAAACTTAGGAGATAATTGAACATTAAGTTTTAGAATTGGGGTAAGTAATAGTTCTTATTTTGTACAAAACAAAATGCCAGATTTTTAAATAGAATAACAATATTTTAAAGATGAATTTTAAGATGCAAGAAAAATCAGGTTTTTAAGTGTACAACATTAATAAATTGAATATCTGTTCCACAAGTATTTTGGTTTCATTTTAAATTGAATTTTAATTTAATACAATTAATATTGATTGTAAGTATAATATAAATATAATATACTAATTTTATATCTAATATCCATCCTGTCCCTCACCCATGCTAGCAGAATCCTGACTGCTTGTGGAGGTAGTGGATTGAGATTGGTTTTAGCCAATCATGACAAGTCTGTTTCTTGCTTTGGTTTGACTCTCTTTCAGCCAGGAAAAGCCATGTGACTCAGCTCTGAACAAGGGCATCTACCCAGAAATTTGTCGGAGGAGTGTTTCTAGGAAAGCTTTTACATCCCAGTGAAAGGGGAGATGTGGTTGGTGCCACCTTTTTATCCATTTCTCCCTTCCTTGAAGCTAGCTGTGAAGTCTAGCACTTCAGTAGCAATCTTATGACTATAAGGCAACAAGTGTGATGGAGGCCCAGGTAACCAGAGAGGGGTTGATCTTAACATTGTTGAGCTACTGAAGCAACCCACAAACCCAACTGCCTCCAGACTTCTTATGTGAAAAAATGAATAAATCCCTATTTGTTTAAAACCATAAGTTGTTTTTTTTGTTTTTTTTAATTATGTGCTGCCAAAAACATTCTTAATTAGGGCCGGCTGAGTGGTGCGTTGGTTAAGAGCTGGCTTGGGATGACAGAGGACCCCGGTTCGGATCCCACATATGAGGGCCAGTGACACTGCCCTCTACAGCTAAGATGCTGAACAACAGCTCAACCTGGAGCTGGGCTGCCGTGAGTCGCCGGCGGCGTGGCAGTGGGTTACCATGAGGTACTGTATATAGTCAGCAGCCAGCATGAGCGACCAGCAGCTGCAGTGAGCGGCAGTCCAGAAGCCGGTGACTGATCTGCCTCGCCCGGGAAGAGCGCAATGATGGTGCCAACTTGGGCCAGTGAAGCAACGGCCTCCACAAACTAGACTGAAGAACAAAACAACAGCAACTTGTCTGTTCCCCTTCCCCCAATTCCCCAATTAAAAAAAAAATCTTTAAAAAAAAACAACAAACATTCTTAATTAATCCTTCAATAAGTGTAAATAGTCTTTTCTGTGTACAAAAGCTCCTCCATTCAGATGCTAAAAATTCCCATTTGACAGCCATAAATAATAAAAAAATAACTTGGTTGTGGATGCTTCTAATTTGGGTATCAACTTATTTCCAATAAAAATACCACACCTGGAGCAAAATCCCCTAAATGAATTCAATTGTTATACTTCAGGCCCGTGATAAATAGAGAACAAATCTCTTGACGCTACCTCTTCTGCCTTGAGGGTGATGATTCTAGAGGTGGGAATCTTTCCTCTGGGCTTGGCTCTTAGTAACTCCTCATAGTTCTTCTTTTCTGCTCCATTCCCATAAAGCATTTGTAGCTTCCAGATGGCTTCCTCCACGGCGTCATCCCTGTCCCACGCATCCACGTCTTCTCCACCCAGGTCCTCCGTCCTGAGCAGAAGTTTAGTCAAGTTCTTCAGCTCCTCCTTCCACTCCTGCCAAGAAAGAGAAGGGCCAAGCCCCTCATGACACAGATACGAAAAATCCGACAAAGGGAGGAAGTCCATTGACCTGTGGAGGGCAGCGGGGCTGCATATTCAGGAAATCTAAAATCACATAATCCAGCAAAGAATCATTTAATACTCCTCCCCCCCACCCCCCTTATTTTGTAGAGAAGGAAACAGAGACCTAAAGAGGGAAATGGCTTCCCCACAGTTCAATAATGAGTTGTGACAGGACCCAGGCTAGAACTCCCATCTTGCTCTATTAAACTTTCTCATTCAGTACTATGTTCTTTTCATTCAGTAAAGCATGAGCTAAGCTTACAAGGAATATAATGTTAATCTCTAAGAGAAAGGGAGAAGAAAGAAAATGAAGGAAGGAAAGAAGGAAGGAAGGAAGGAAGGAAGGAAGGAAGGAAGGAAGGAAGGAAGGAAGGAAGGAAGGAGGGAAGAGGGAAGAAAGAAGGGAGTGGGGGAGGAAACCAGGGAGGGCAGGAGGAAGGAAAGAAGGAAGGACACACACACTTACCTGGTCAGAGAGAAGGTGGATTTTGGCCTCATACTGCTCACAGCAGCCCGAGCTCACTTGTACAATACACGAAGTGCATATGCTTTCTCCAGACACTGGTAGAAACATTGCTTGCTGGATGATGGCATTGATCAAAGAGCTCTTCCCAGCCCCAGTGCTTCCAAATAATCCAATGTAGATGGGGTCCAATGACGGTTTTTCAATTAAAGTAAGAAGCCTGTTTCTAGATCAATTTTCAAATGCACATTGCCATGATCATCAAAGCATAGTGGGAGGAACATCAGAAAAGCACACAAAGGAACTGAGTTGTAATCCTGGGCAAGTCTCGACATCTTTCTGAGTCTCTGCTCTCTCCTTGGTCAAAGAGGAATATTAATCCCTGTTTACTAAACAGGGTTGTCATGGGAGGTCAAATGAGATTATGCAAAAATACCTGGTAATTCTACACAAAAATAGTAGTAATTCTTGTTTGTGTTCTATGGAAATTACTTAGTCTTGACCCTAGAAATCAAGTTTATGCAGAGGTGAAGTATTAGGAGAAGCAACACAGAGACTTACAGAGCAGGACACGCAGCCTCAGCACCACGCAAGTCCTTAAAGTCAACTGAGCACAGCAGTTGAGGGCACAGGCTCAGGCCACACAGCCTGGGTTGGATTCTGAGCCCTTTGAGTTATCAACAGTGTGACTTTGGTCAATGTCTTGGCTTCTCTGAGCCTCAATTTCAGGAAACCGGGATGATATTAATAGCTTCTACTTTATAGGGGTATTGGGACAATTAAATGAAATTTGATATATGTAAGGTATTTATCAGATCACCTAGCAACAGCAACAGGTCAATGAATGGCAACTATCAATAATAATTATGGCCAATAGCTATGAAAATTTTCAGCCTTCTTTGCTTAGTTTCCAATTGACAATTCCCTTTCATTGTTGGAGAAAACCACCTACAATCCCCTAAGGAAAGACATCTAAGTAAGATTGGATGGGAGCCGGTATCAGACTCACATGAGATACTTGACTCCGTTAGGAATGCTGTCATCCAGAAAGACAGACTGAATAAGTTTCTGGTAAGTGTTGCTCAAAACCCTTCTGGTCCGGGACTCCAATTTTTCATCTGGAATCAAAATACAGATGTATTACCTGGGATCTACCTGGCAGGGGTCAAGTACTAGGTCTCCACAAGGGGAATCTGCTCAATATTGCAGAGAAAGAAAAAAAAGAAATGAAATGAAAAGCCAATTAAACAAGATAGCCCATCATCTGACACTAGAGGTAACAGCTTATGGGAGATGGCAACCATTGATTCTGACAGCCTCGCGAGGGGCCAGCCTGCTCTGAAACTCCCCGTAACAAAAGTCAGCATAGACTTTGCCATGGGCTTTAGCCCTTTTAGATTCTTCTCTCCTGTGGTCACAAAAAGAAAAAAAAGTCACATGCAGCTAACACAATATTGTATATCAACTGGGCTGGCCGAGTGGCGCGATGGTTAAGAACTGGCTTGGGACGCCAGAGGGCCCCGGTTCGGATCTCACATATGAGGGCCAGTGACACTGCCCTCCACAGCTATGATGCTGAACAACAGCTCAACCTGGAGCTGGGCTGCTGTGAGTCGCCGGCGACGGCGTAGGCTGCAGCCCCTGTGGCAGTGGGTTGCCATGGGCTACCGTATGTAGCCAGCAGCCAGCGTGAGCGGCCAGCAGCCGCAGTGAGCGGCCGTCCAGAAGCCGGCGACTGATCTGCCTCACCCGGGAAGAGCGCAATGATGGTGCCAACTTGGGCCAGTGAAGCAACGTCCTCCACAACTAGACTGAAGATGAAAATGACAGCAACTTGTCTGTTCCCCTTCCCCAATTCCCCAGTGCTGTTCCCATCCCCCCAATTCCCCAATAAAAATATTTAAAAAAAAAATATATATATATAGTATATCAACTATACTTTAAAAGAAAAAAAGGGGGGAAAATGCAAGGGCATTGTATAAATATACCCACTGAAGCACCAAACCAACCATTTTCACAGTCTTTGTTCTAATCCAGAAGAGGTTATTTTGACAACAACCCTCCTCTCCAGAGACTCTTGGAGATAAATTGTCAAATTATCTATCTCTGCAAAGACGATGAGGCATCCTTTTCTGGATCAGGCTCATTTGAAGATGTTTCATCCTGCTTCTGAGTTGACCCTTCTCTTCCTTTGAGCGTTTTCACACATTTGAAAAAGAACAGAGCCACGTTCAAACAACCGAATAGCAATTTCACGACACTCACATTCTTTAAGGGCACTTTGTTCCACGGAGGGAAATGCTCGGAACCGCTGGTCTCGATCTGACCGTCTTCTTTTTTTCATCGGTTCTTTAAACAAATCGTCGTCAACTAGACATAAGCAGAGGTTATATAAAATTACAGGCTCTTGGGCCATGGTATTTTTTTGCTTGACTTCTATCAATACACAAACCCAAAGAGCCTAAGCGGACCCCTGCCAGCTCTGCATGCCTGGGAGCTCACTTCAGAAGCAGACAGTGCTGGGCCATTCCAGTCTGGTTCCTACTTCCCAAGACTTTGCATCTAGCTCCAAAATGCAGGGTCCAACATATCTCCCCAGAAGATATGTTGACATGAAAAAAACACTTCCTGTTTGGAAATCCTGAGAAGCCAAAATGACTGGATATTCTTCACCAAATGCCAACTGTGTAGAGAGAAGCCAAAGACAGGGCTAAGTGTGGAGTGAAGAAGGGCCTATGTATGGGACGTCTTTTTAAATTGGGAAAGAAATTGATCAGGAGCAGAATGCAGAGGAAAGAACAGGCCACATAACCAGGGCAACTCATTTCTCCTTGAGCCTCAGTTTCTTCACCTGCAAAATGAGAGGGCTGACAAAAAAACGTACGTAACAAGTTTGGAGAGTGCTCTCCTAGAGGATGCCCAACAGAGATTATGTCTGGGGAATTTCCCCCCCCTTCCTCACGGAAAGACATGAACAGCAGCTTCCTTACACAGACACGAATAGAAATCACCAAGAAGCAGATCTTTGTAGTTCTGTGGAGATTTTTTTCACTTTAGTGGGTCCCCTTGGTTATGAAGTAAATGGCTGGTAGGGTCCACACTCCTCAGGAAAGGGTATAACCAAAACATTGTGTTTTGGATGGGTTTTAGCAAATACCTCCCCAGCAGTATTCACCTGGTTAATAGGGGCAATAGGTGGGTTTTTGAGGTCAACGTTGTTGGAAATGCTCCTGGGGCTGGCTTGTGCCTTAGGAAATGGCTGTGAGGTGAACTGAAAGAAGAGTTGATCCCCAAGAGTAAATGACATGCTAAGGTCATATAAGAATGTGAGGGCCCAAAAACTGAGTGTGATGTTGGAGGCCATTCTCCCTGATGAACCTCAGAGAAAGAGCTTCCCTTGGGGACCCAAGATGGCAGCCCGAGCACATGGTCCAGCCTCCATCACTGGGCTCCACACACAGGTCTCCCAGATAACGCAGGCACTCTTACCCTCAGTTCAGCCTTGCATCTTCCGGCACAAATTATGCCATGTTCTGGAGCTGACTCCTACCCCACAGAGTACTGCAGTGCAGAAGTAAGCTGTTTGCCAAAGCCTGAGTCTCTGCCACCTCCTGCTCATGCGGTGACAGGGTGTTGAAAGAGCCTGTGCTTCAGCCCTTTCTATCTCAGACACTCTCACTTCATGATTGAGCTCAACTCAAAGAATTTATCCTGGCTCGGTTTAAGAACTGCATTCGAACTAAATACCAAGTGGTTGCTGGCTGGGTGGCTGTAGCTGGAAAGGAAGAGGCAGAGAAGAAAAGAATATGCCACTCAGGCCCCTGGGCCAGCTACAGGCTGAAGAGTCCTTTAGTCTGTGGTATAAAAGGTACCTCCGAATTCCAGGATATTTCTACAACCTGTCTGCAGAAAGAAAGAAAATGGATGCAGGCCTTGATCTGGGCTTTGTAACTCAGGAAATCTTTTGTGTAAACGATGTTGGCACAATATCTTAGCCACATATTTAAAACAAGGGACAGGTCCATATTCGTGGCCTTTATCTCAATTTTATAAGCACTGGCAATTAATATGATAAAAGATTAGAAGCTTCTTTCTCAACTAAAGCAGAGACTGAGAAGTCAGATAAAACAGCAGGAATTTAAACGTCTTCAATTTCTAAAATGAAAACCACCTGGAAAGGAGCAAGTATTCCATCTTGGATCTATACTGTTTAAGGGAAGGCTTTTCATATTAAATTGTAACTGGCCTGAACTGGCCTGAACTGGCCTGTCTGTAATTCCCTGTAATTGTCAAGCACCCCTTCACCTTTTCCAGCATTTCACCCTGCAAGATCCCAGGAGGGAGCAATAGAGATGGGTGAGGGCGGTCCAAAGGAGGGAACCTTCGTCTGTGGCAGCTATTGTTTCCTGCTGCCACAAGGGGTCACTTTTTGAAAACAGATTCCAGATAGCTTGACCCCAGGATACAGATTCATTGTTGATGCAGACCACGGCCAGGGACTGCCATAGATCTTCCAGGCACGACAACTCCATTCCTTCAGTGCTAAGTTCAAAGAAGCGTGCCCAAAAGTTGAAGTTCTATTGGTTTGTGTGCCCATCCATTTCTCAGATGCTAGCCACTACCCCACCGATCCAGAAAGAAGACTTCCCTTGTTCCTAAGTCTCTTCGATTTTCAAAACACAAAGGATGTGATGCAACCCATTTTCTGCAGATAGAGGTTACTTCCCTGTCTCTTTCTAGGGAAGGCTCCTTGCTTGGTTCCAGGGCTCCCACACACAGCCTTGTAGGGAGGGGGTCACACTCACTGACTCCAATGTAGTTCACCCTATATCTCCCCTTCTAAGGAAAGTACCTGAAAAGATTCCAGGGGCCTTACCTTGCCCATTCTAAGAGAGGCTACCCTCGGAAGATCCAAGGTGGCTTCCTGGATGCTTCTTTTAGGGAGCGGGCACAAATTTCATTGCTGGTCAGACAGTTCACTACATTATGAACAGGCTATTTTAGTTGTTGGTGAAATAATTTATAGTCATGCACTATTAAAAGGTATCATGAGAAGGCGGCTTCTGAATAAGGGGCAAGGAACAACGTTCAACACAGTCTGAACCCATTTGCCCTTAATTATATCAGGGTAAATGGTTCTATTCACTTCATCAGGGGATATTATAGGGATGTTACCTGGATATGGCTCCTGACCCACAAAATCCTCAGTTTCTGCCATTTCCTGTTCTGTAAACACCTGCTTTCGTCCACCTTGGAGAACCAGCCTGAAAATACATACAAAGTACAAGGGGTGGGGAACAGCAGAAACTGTAAATACAAAAAGCAAAAAAATAATAATAATAACCAAAAATAATGTGTAAGTCTGCTTATGTTTTGTTTCCCCAACTAGATTCCAAGCCTCCAATGGCAATGACTATTCTAACTTATCTTTGACTCCCTCACCACGCCTGGCACACTATGTGCTGATTTAAATGTGACAAAGATCAATGCTTGACCATGGGTTTTCAATAATAGCTGTATCTATAGAACTTTAAACTGATATGACCTGCGATCTTTAAGCAATTCACTCTGAAATGAGAATAACCTTTAGTGACGAGAATCATGGAGGTAAAATTACATAACTTCGCTGCTTTGGATGACATCGGTACCCCAATCAGGTAAGCCTTGAACCCTTGTGCCAGTGAGATCCAGCTCCAGCAGGTCTCAGCAAGAATCGGAGAAATAGATGGAACTTTGGATATTCCTAGGGTTCCCTGGAGCTGCTTTTGGGGCTACAGCATGGGAAGGAGAGATGTAGTAGTAACCAGGTTCTCTGGATCTTCCTCACTACTCCACCCCCCAGGAAGACACCACTACTGGGGGCTATAGGCAGCCCCACAGCATGGAGAGACATGTCAGATCCAACCTGCCCCCTGTTCACCAGCAGATAGGGCTTGGGCACTGAGGAGAACTGGACCTATAGACACCCTGAGGAAAGGGCAGTGCACAGAGCTTCTTTGGCTCCACACTTAAAGAGGAATTTGAGGAACACAAGTGGGGAGCACCGGAAGTGCTTGCTCTCTGTATCTGACATTGCTATTTGGATCACTCAGCCATGTAATTCAAAAGGAGAGAGTCACCAGTCCTTCTGAAATATGCAAAATTTCATCTGACCTGCCAACTCCCACTAGACCCATAGACCGTTAGTTAGGGAGGCTGTGCCTCATTTACATATTAACCCCAAATGAAAATCACAACGCATCAGTCGAAACAGCTTAGTTTGGTTAGTGGATATTAACTGACAAAATGGTTTCTGTACTTGGTAGGTGTTGGTTGAATGTAGTGTGAACCTCTCCTATGTGCAAGGTCCTGAGCCTTAGGTAGAGTTCCTTATCTCTCCATTTTATATCTTGCAGTCCCCCTCTAACTACACAGGTCTCCAAGGCATTTTAGCACAGTCTTTCCTTCTCTGTGGGACACGCTTCCCCTCTTCTTCCTGGTGAATTCCTACTCTTCCTTCAAGATCCTGTTGTAGCATTTCTTATGTGAAACTGTGTCCTGATTCCCAGTCATTCCCCTGTTGTGTGACCACTGCCCCCAGCACACCTCTGTTACAATGTTTACTATGCTTCCTTTATGTCTTTTCCTCCTTACTGAGCCATGAGCTATTCAAGGTCATGGCTACATTTGTTTCAATGATGCAGTTTCTATCATGAAGTGCAATAACTGACAAAAAATGCCTAATTGATGCATAAAATGTTGGGAAGCTTTTGATGAGAGTCTACACCAAAAGATGTTTAAAAACCATATCGTTTTTGATATGATTAGCGTCCTGGTTTAAAGAGTAAAGCAGAGTGGGAACAAATAGGCAAGTATGCAGATGGAGCCGGATTAGTAGTGAGGATAGCTCTGTAGGGTCTGGGAACGTTTAACTTGAAGCAGAGAAGACACAGGCAAAGGCAGAAGATGGGGAGGGCATGCACAGTGATCTCCAAATACATGACCTTAGAGCTGCGTATAAAAGAGGGATGATGTATGTTTTCTGTGGTCGCAGGAGAAGATCACTAACTAGATCTACCAGGTGACATTTGTGCTTAAGCACGTTCTCTAGTAGTCAGACTTGTCTAAGATAAAATGAGCTCCCTTAGAAAGTAATGAATTTTTTGTCCCAGGTGTCTGAACCTATACTGGTATGACCACCTCATAATGGCATTGGGACTAGATGCCATTTTAAGGCCACTTCAAATCCAAGAGTTTATGTTCTTACTTGAAATGTTCACCAGTAAAGCTGACAGAGGAAGTGCCTGATGAGGTAACTAAAATTCACGAGAGACACAAGCAATACCTGGTTTGAGATGCTGAGTTGGAAATGCTACCCCACATCAAAACCTAGGTGAGTTAGGAGGGGGAGAAAGGGTAGATGAGCTTTGACATGTGCAAGAATATGGTAATGCCTATCAATAACTTCAGATACAGAACAAGAATTACCCCCCGGAAAGAGATCTGTTGTTTTCTGAAGACAGCAGCTCAATGACCCGTTGTCACACAAAATGTTAGGATCATATCACAGTGGGCACAGGAAGCAAAGCAAAATGCATGGTCCCACCAGGGGACAAATCTACTGCAGACCTCCAGGACAACTTGTGTTCTGATCATCAAATTCCAGGAAGATATAGTGGAGCCAGATGAAGCCCGAAAGCATGAACAAGTTGGTGTTACCACCATTTGAACACTGAGATGAAGGCCCTCCAATCTGAGAAGGAAGAGGATTTAGAGGAGAAGCAAATGTGTCCACCGAATTCTGGGATGTGGGCAGTGGCTGTGGCTTCCTACAGGGTCACAGGAAGTTCAGGTCATCTGACTTCACTTACTAAATCAACAGTACATGGCGACCAGCAAGGGCTGTTAGCATGTAACTATCCCCAAAGCCCCAAAACCCCAAAAGTGTGCCACCATTACTGCTCCTCTTTGGAGGAAAATGGACCCCAACATTTGAAGAAGGACTATGCACCTATGGGTTGTGTACTCCTTAAAGCAAAATGAAACTGAAATTCAGTAATCTCAGTTGTGCTATTTTCAATTACTGATTACCTTGTATTCGATTTAGGTGCATGTAATCAAGACATGAAACCATGGGCCTCCCACTATAGCAGCATCTATGGCACCAGTACACAAGTGATTTGTGGCCCCTTCAAACTGAAATTGGAAGAAATTGGAAATGATTTGAGTTATGGTCGTGGTGAACTGGGCTTCAAGTTCCTTCCACCAATGTTCAAAAACTGGCAAGATGGGATCATTTGATTGGGAAACTAAGACACTGGAAAACTGAAAGGGAGCATTTACAAAACAGCTGAGGAAGGAGAACCAAATAACTTCAAGTGCCAAGCCTTTAAAAAGAATGACCTATAAACAAATATATCAATTAATGGGGCAGGGGTATGGTATAGACACTCAGTATTTAGTCATTGGGTTGAACTAAATGATGCAGTGAGAAAGGTATTAAACTAGAAATTAGGTGTGACAGGGTCCAGTTCTGTCTTTGCCACCAACCAAAGGGGCTGTAGTACTTCAGACAAATCATTTCATCGCTCGAGACCTTAGTTTTCCCATCTAAATGAAAGATTAAACTAGTCTTTGAAGCGTGAATGTTCTCTGATTTAGTTGGGTGCCAATAGAATTAAAGTTCTTATTTTGAAATGTCACCTGTTGTTGAAACCAAGACTGTACCGATAATGAGTGGCTCTTGAGTCATCAAAAATAGCACAACTGAGATGACTGAATTTCAGTTTCATTTTGCTTTAAGGAGTAAACAACCCAATAGGGGCACAGTCCTTCTTCAAATGTTGGGGTCCACTTTTCTCCCAAACAAAAGTCAGTCATGATGGTGACATTTCGTGAAAATTTGGCTTCTATGGAGAAGCAATTAGAGACAGCCCAAGTTTATTGCTCATACAGGCAAGGTTTTCATTTGTATTTCACTTGTATTTCAACTATGTGGTTAAAACTTACGTTTTGCTTTTAGTACTTATTTACATTCGTGTGCACTGAGCCTAAGAATAGCGTCTTTTAAATGAGGCTCTGCATATTTAGCTAGTTATAGGGAGGTTACACAGAACCAGTTTCCTGTTAAATAATTATGACTTTTGACGGTTGTCCTGGCTTCTACTCGCTCTTCTGTTTGTGTTTTCTTATTGCCTTTTTTTCTTACAATAACAGAGGTGACACATGTGCAATAGTCATTCCTATACTACAACAGCTTCATACAATGGAATTAAGTAAAGGATGCTCTGGAGCCCCTTCGTCTACAGGTGTGACATGGAAGCCCCGAGAAGGGAAAGAGCTTGTCCAAGGTCACGGAGTGACTCCAAGTTCAGTGTTCTCTTCACTCCACTAAGCAGCCTGTAGCAGGTACTATTTAAACAAAGCCTCCGGAGCTAAAGAGTAGGAAAATGAAGGGAACAGTGCCCACAAATGAGGATGGAGAGAAGCAACTTGATAAAATGGTACTTAGGGGCTCAAACTGAACATACTGCCAAAAAATTCTCAGAGGTAAAACCGGGGTGGGGGGTGGGGGGGGAGAGGCTCTTACTGCATTCATTCTGTGTCTGATGCAGAATGGAATGTGTTAAGAATTACCAACGTCCTATTCTCTCTCCCTAGCTCTTCTCTTTTAGTCAGAATCCCATGTCACCCTACCTTGCTTCATATCATTAACTCCTCCCAATATTATCCTTGTTTTCCTTTCATTCCTACCGCCTACCCCCAGCCCAAGGCAACTCTTAATAGGAAAAAAATCGAAATGCTTACATTAGCTAAGTTCTTTAAGGGGCATTTTGATCAACTTTGGTTTTACTATTACCCACTTTTAATGAATGTGGGAAGTGCTTGGTACATAGTGAGCACTGTATAAATATTTTTGAATGAAGTGTATCTTTTAAACATGTCTTAAATGATATGATTCATAATAGTAGAAATTACATTCATTCATTCAACAAATATTTGAGTCTGTACTACGTGCCGGGCACTGTTCTAGGTGCTGGAGATACAGCAGGAAACAAAATGGGCAAGTTGTCTGCACGCACAGGGCTTACATTCCAGGCAGTGAATGGTGTAGTGGAAATTACTCGGGAATTAGCCTGAAGGTTTGGGCCCTGCTCCAGTACTTTAGTGTAACACCGAACCAATCATCTAGCATCTCTGAGCCTCAGTTTATCCACATATAAAATAAGAATGTAAAAATACCTACATGCAGAGTTCATTGTGAGGATTAAATATGATAATGTATATTCCTCTATAGACACTTAAGCATCTGTACAAATTTTTTTAAAGATTATTTCATGAAGACAATTAAACTAGAAAGCAGTACTAGTATTTACCTGAGCCAAGTCTATTTAGTTTGGGGAAAACAGATGCCACCTAAACTGATAAACTAACTCCCATTCTTGTCCGCACTGACTCATCCCCATGAGGGTTCTATCCCATTTTCCTTCGAGAGCCTTTGGTAAAGTCTGTCCCCTCCCCCATAAAGGGAACTTAAGCATAAAATAAAGAGATTCTTAATAAAATGATGCAATGTTGATGACATTTAGGATTTATTTCCTTTCTTTGTAAGGTTTAAGTACCTTCGGTGTTGGCAGCATTTCTTGGCCACCTTATTGGACATTGCACTGTCTCAACGGAGCAACTTAAACACAGCTTAGAAGTAAAAGTGAAACAAGGGCCTTCAAATCCCCAAAGGAAAAGAGCTATGTTTTCTGCGGTAACACATCCGCTGAAGTGGGTGACATTAGAAGGTCAGCTACCAGAAGTAGGTGCAGTAGAGGAGGCATTAAGATAACATGATTTTCTCCGTCCTTCTCCCCCAGGTGAGTAGGCAAGTAACATAAGCAGATATTTTCATAACGTACTTTATCAGAATTTGAATCCTCTCATGTTGCTCCCCCAAAGCTTGCCAAAGTTAATGAAGCATAAGATGACATTAATACTACCCCGATGAAGTCTGCACTACATGTTTTCTTTGGGGAGGAATGATTATAGACTTTGCCTAAGATCACACTATTAAGTAAAATTCAAACTAAACCCTGATCATCCAGATTTCTAGTTCACTGGCCTTTACATAGCCTTAAATTCACTTAAACAAACAAGAGAGTAGGATTCACTTTCCCTCAAGAAATAATTTCTTTTAAGCAAATCAAGAGATGGAGAAGAAACAAATCTCCCATACACACTTATAAAAATTCCAAGTACTTGATGTAGATACCCTACCCTCAAGAAGGGAAGTGTAACCCTCCACTCCTTAAGTGTGGGCTTTGCAGAGCGACTTCCTTCCAAAGAGGACAGTGAGGAAAAGAGGGGGAAAGAGTAACTTTACAGTGGAGAAACCAGACAAACCTCGGCCAGATGATCAAAATCATCAACAGTCATAAATCATATTGATAGTATGTATCTTTGATGTGATGTGATGAGAATGTCACTTTAATTCTGTGATCTTCCTCCCCTAAACCCATAACTCCAATGTAATCATGAAAATAACAACAACAGACAAATCTCAATAGAAGAGATTCCTACAGAATATCTGACCTGCACTCCTCAGAACCTGACCGGCACTCCTCAAAACTGTCAAAGTCATCAAAACAAGGAAAGTCTGAGAAACTGTCACAACCAAGAGAATCCTAAAGAGTAATATGGTCTCCTAGATGGGATCTTAAAACAGAAAAAAGGACATTATGATAAAAACTAAAAACATCTGAATAAAGTCTAGCCTTTAGTTAATAATAATGTTATAAATATTGGTTCATTTATTGTAACAAAGATATCATACTAATGTAAGATAAGAGAAGAAATTCAGTGTGGGTTATATGAGGACTCTCTGTACTATCTTCTCAACTTTTCTGTAAATCTAAAGTCTATTTTTTAAAAAATCAACCATAAGCAACAGCATAAATTACATAATAGAATCTTACCAGATGTCACTTTTTCTGCTTCGGCTCCAGGAGTCCACAGTGGAAATGGTGGCCGTTTCTTTGCCTCAGTATAGACATGTGGGACCAGCTGGGGTGTACAGCCCTTTGTCACAGTCACAAAGTCACATTTACACAAGCAGAAGTGAAACTGATTTGTCATCGGAGGGTTATTTGCGGACAATATCCTCCCTCAGAAATTGATTCATGCTCTTTTCCCCTTTCATTTAAACTTAAATTGTATGTGAATTGGGGATCTTACATTCTGCTGTGCCCTATTCCTACAAGCAGGTGGATATTAGTCATTTTTCCTTCCCAAATAGCCTGTAGTATCCTTTCTTTGAGGGTGAAAGTTATTTTGATGGATCTGACTTACTCTAGCAGATAGCAAACATGCCCCCATCCCAAAAGAGACACCCCCAAGTACAAGACAACCGGGAGAGATGGATGATATGAGGTGGTAAAGATGAACTGATTCTTTTTTTATTATTATTACATTATTTTTTATTATTAAATACACATTTTTTAGAATTAGTTTCAGCTGTACAACACAGTGCAATAGTTATACTTTTTACCCCTCGAAGTGACAACCCAAAGATGAACTGATTCTTGATACAAAGTCTTGAAATTCATCAAAAACCAAACAACATGGTGTTGTGTGATTGTATACATGAGTGTGACACAGATCTAAACAACTCCTTTTGGAATTTAAGTTTTACATCCATATTTAAAAAAAACAAAACAGAAAAACAAATATTTGTAAAATGATGTCAAGAAGAGAAGAAGGCAGAATTTACTCCACTTTGCTGTGTCTGGCCACCCAAACAATCACAAGTACAGGCTGTTGGTTCGTTTGTTTTAAACTTCAGCTTCCGGTAGTGTTTGAGCTTCAAAGGCAGACTCAGTTATTACTAGGATAGCCCTCAGTAACTGTATGCTATGTTTTTAGTCCAAAAGGAGGATTCAAAAGGCAAAAAGATAAAAAAGAATTGAAGATAAATATTTAGACTGCGGTCTTAAATATTGCTTTCAACTTTTGGCAAGGTGGTATGCCTTATCCTTAAGAAAACCACTGAAATACCAATAGAAAGTTCAAAACAAAGAAAATTGACATGAATACCATCATGAGCATTGGATCTTATCTCTGGGCAAAACCACAACTTATAGTTATATTCGTCTCACATGTGCTTAGCTCTCCCTCTACTGGCTATTTCTTGCTTTAACAGTTAACTGAATTTTTTTTAGTTTTTATTATTATTATATTTTTTTATTTTTGATTTTTTTGATTTTTTAATTTGGGGAATTGGGGGAGGGGAACTGTGTTGAGGAATTGGGGAAGGGGAACAGCCAAGTTGTTATCCTTCAGTCTTAGTTGTGGAGGGCACAGCAAGCTCAGCTCCAAGTCCAGTTGCGCTGCTCTGCTCAAGGTGCCGAGTTCATTCTTTAGTTGTGGGTGGGCGTAGTCACCATTTAATCCAGCAGCCTTGTTGTTAGGAGCACATGCTCTCACCAGATGAGCCATCCTGCCACCTGTTGGCAGCTCAGCTCGGGTCGCAGCATCACTGGCCCATGTGGGAATCAAACCGGCAACCCTGTTGCTCAGAGCTTGCACTCTTGGGCAAGCTCTTAACCAACAGAGCCACTCGGCTGGCCCGTTAACAGTATCCTTAATCAGAGGTACTACTAAAGTACCTAATAACTAAAATTAATTTTGATCATTTTAAATGCTTCTTGGGTTCTTTATGATGTTACTAGACAGCTGTTATTGGACACCTGAATGCTAGATCTGTTATGAGTTTGGGCAAACTACCAGGTTGAACTGTCATTGCACTCACTGGAAACATCAAAGCAATTGAAAGAGAAGACCCAAAGAGCCCTACCATCACACCCAACCACCGATTGGAATCTGCATTCATGTGCTCTGCCTTCCTAAGGTCTGTTAATAGATTAACCATCCCTGTGCCCCTGAGAAGCTAATCTCTTCTCTTGTGCACCAGATTTCATCCCCTTTCTCCAACTGCAGGACTAAGGTAGAGTACTTT